ATTTAGCGCTACCCCTGCCACTCAAAGTTATCATTCATCTCCACCTTAGTCTCATGAGTTCCACCATTTTCTTTGCCACTGCCACCACTGCCGCCACCGCTACCCCTGCCGCCACCGCCGCATTGCTGTCATTGCCAAAATATTTTCTCTAACCGTGACAACATTGGTAATCTTCTACTATCATTTTCACTTCCTCCAAAAATGACTCTTCTCCAACAATTCTACACTATAAATTATATAATATATATGTTGTGATGTAAAAAAATAAATGAAATATGAACCAAATAGCAAAAGAAAGAACTCAGTAGAAGATAAAACGAAAAAAAGTGTGGGAGTAAAAAATAAAGCATTGCCGGCCAAAAATAAAACGTTGTCCCGCCAAAAATAGAACACTGCCGCGGCAGTTCAAAACCGCCACAAATTTAAAAATTTAGCGGTGGTTCAAAACCGCCACAAATTTAGCTTTGCGTCGCCAATTTTAATGTCGGTTTCATAACTGCCGGAAAAATATTTAGAGGCGATTAAAAACGCTAATCATAAAATTTAACCGCCATAAATAAACGATTTTTCTTATAGTGTACTTATTAATTTCAAGTTTCTTCACCCACATTTAAAAAATCACTTTAGTTCCTATGTTTGAATCTATTTACATACTTTCAATGCAATCCTCGTACACATTCAATCACATAAACCATGAATATAAATTTCACGCAATAAAATTACAATCCCAAAATGTGCAAAGACAGTTAAATGGGATGGTATTGAAATAAACCCAAAGTCCAAGAACTGCTGATCACCATGTTTTGTCACCTCTGTCACCGCGTCCTTATAACCTCTTAGATTCATTGCATAGATCGAACATCCATACGCCTCAAACCATCATCGCTTACCATGCTATGCCACCACAACATGGTCACTATCCTACCCTTCTAGCATGTCTATGCCTCCAACCACCACCTTTTTTTTTTCTCCCTCTCCTCCATCTTTGTCATTCTCTCTCTTTCTTTCTTTTTTCACTCTCTAAACCAACACTTTAGAATCAAAATCCAAGCACTAGCCACTGAGAACCACTGCGCTGATTTTGTTTTCACAAACTCTGCCTCTATTAACCTTCTAAGCTCAAGTTTCATTTTTCAAATTTGGATTATTGAATGAAAACTCTAAAGTCTCTTTTTTAAGTCATGTTTATTATTGATAATAATATAAAAATAATTTTTTTTCTAAATGCTAACCCAAATCATTTAGTATATATGTATATTAAAACCGAATCTCGATCAAGGAAAATTATTTGTTATTATTATTTTTTTAAAATTAATTTTCTTTCATCATTGTAATAATAATATTCATAATGATATTGAAGCAGATATAAATAACTTTCAGGATTAAATTTTTTATTTAAATTTTTATTTTATCTCACTGTATTTATCTTAGTATTATTATCATTATGATTGTTTTATCTTTGTATATATAAAGTTAATTTAATTTTATTTAATTTTATATTTTATTTCATTATTAGTGAATTTTATATTTTATTTTAAAATCATATAATAAATAAATAAAATAGTTATATCAATTTATAATAATAACGTAAAACTTCATAAATTTATTGTGTTCTAACTTTAATTAATATAATTATATTATCAATCAATAAAAATAATTATTAAGAAATTAATTTATTAAGTTAAATCATATTAATAGAATCATTTATAATACTAATATATAGTATCTTTACCTTTATATATTGTAAATTGTTGAAACTTATGTATATCTGCTTTTACTTCAGATTGAGAGTGCTAATACTTTAGTTACACATAAATGACTCTAGAATTCATTTATGTTTTTAAAAATTATATTTTTTTAAAATGTTTTTTTAATTTTTTTTAAAATAAACTTTGATAATAATTCCTTTATTTCCTTAAAAACATTTATATGTTTTAGATTTTAAAAAAAAAATATTTGTTGTCCCATAATGCGCTCCACATTGCAATAATCCTCTTCATGCTTAGCTGAAAATCAAATAAACTCTTTAACTTCATCCTTATACTCTTTTGACAAATGAATTGTTTTCCATCCATTTTCAATCAATATTATTCTCAATCTACTATAAATAAAAACAGTTCAAATATGATTATATGAAATTAGAATGAAAATAATGTTTTAGACTTACCTTTTATGTCATGATCTTTGTCATAGTAGTTGTCGTTCAAACAACACTTGTGAGTAAAAGAGAACTTTAACCTACACTAATAAATTTGCTAATATTCAAGCACAAACAAATGATTCAGTTATATTATTGAGCTTATTTATGCACCTTGTCTAAACTATGAATTATTCCATTTTATGAAAGTAAAAAGTTGCATTTAATTGTAACTCATTAAAAATTATTAAATAATTTTAACATTCACTTAGGTAAAATTAATTGTCTAATTTTTTTTAATTTTTTAAAATAACTTTTAACTTAATGACTAATTTTATAATGTAGCTACATTTTAAAAAATACATGACGGATAATGTAATCTCTAAGGATTACTTTGTCTGACAAAAGTCAAATAATATTAAATCATGGTAGCTGTTTTATCTTTTATTAATATAAAACTTTTTATATTTACAAATATTACTAATTCTATAGACCAGTTGTTTGTGTGAAGTGTATCCAGACATCCATCAGCTCTAATATAACATCAACTACTAACACCTTAGTCCCAATGACAGCAAGTTTTAAAGTATAACTATCTCTTAACTCTAATATAATGCGAATCTTAGGCATGATAATTCTAACTACACCAATTTTTAAATTTAGCAATTAATATATGCAAATTTACTAATATACGCAAAGATCTACAATAAAAAAAGTCACTATATATATTATTAATGGCTCAAAATAAAAACTATATGTCAATAAATACTAAAAGTATATTAAAAGAAAAAAAAAATACATGTCAATCAAAGTATAAGGTTCTACATAAAAAAAAATAACATAAGAAATAAACTCTCATTAACAAAGTACATTAATAAAACTCATTATACTCGTATTCTTAACATGTCTTTTAAACATCATAGGCACGAGTCTCTTAGCTAAGGGGTCAATAATAATATGTCATTTTTCTTCTTCTGGTCACCAAATAATCTTTAATCAATCAATTTTCTCCATTATCCTAAAATAAAAAATATATATCAAATCTCAAATACTTCTTCTGTGTCATAGTTGATGAAGATGGTTCACAAGTATAGTGTTGAGGTGGGCAATTTAGCATGGTAGTTGTTTATTTGGTCACAAATTCCAGTGTGACAATGATGAGATTTGGATGGGAAACATAAGGCAACGTTATGTGATTGGAAGGTAATGGTGTGTTTTTTGTTCAAGGTTTAATTAACTTGTGATGACTCAGAGGTATGATTGACATTACAAAGAATAGTGGAAAAAACATAGTTGATAGGTGATGTTAGTATAAGAGGTTGATGGTGAATTATAGTGGCAACAATGTTGGGATTTAGTGATTTAGTTCTAGTAATTCTAACGATGGTGCATTTTGGGTGAATCACTATATTTAATGGTGCTATATGATTTTGAAATAAAGGAGGAGGAGAAGGAAATTGTTGGGCTATAAGGACTAGGTTTACTAATTAGAAAATCTTCAAAGGAAATATTGACTTATTAGAAATTCTTTTAAGACCAAATTAATTGATTAAAGATTCTTCATGACAGGTTGATAGATTCTGAGTAAGAATTTAATAAGCCAAAACACAATTTCACGTTGTTATTATAAGCTATACGTCACGTTGGGTCGACACTTTAACATGTTCACTCAATTTGTGTGTTGAAAGAGGCTAATGTTTGTGTAATGGAAGAGACTGAAAAGATTAATAATTGCACATAATAAAGAGTATAATGCAATTTTACTTTATTTAGAAAAAAATTTGATTTGCTCAAAAAACATTGAAACGACTAAAATTGTGATTTCCTCTTATTTTATGGTGAAAATTTACTCATTTCGTTGATTGTTTTCATCGTATTATGCTTAATTATGTGCATCAACAAATTAAGTAATATGCATATAATTTAATTTGCGAGAGGGTAGCAATTATACCGCTCTTAACCAACTAAATTATACTATATAAAAATGTGGTAATATTTCTTATCTTTGTACGCAATAAGCCAATAAAAAAGCATTTCAATTTATTATATTTTTAAATGACTCTTTCTTAGCTATACCATTATCTTTCATAGCTATCTATACAGTAAACTACTAAGAAAAATTTATAATTTATTTTCTTAAAATTTTATATCTGTTTTTTTAATTATTTCTTATTTTAACTAATATTTGTTTATCCGCTAAAATTGATATTTATCTTAATAGAGTCTCGAACAATAGTGAAGCAATGTAAAAGAAAGCTGTCATAAAAAAACATTAATTGTAAACTATTTTAAGTATACTTTTAAAGATATTTTTATGACTGGTTAAATTTTAAAAGAACTTAAAATATTGTGTTAAAGAAATTATGAGATAAATATTTTCTTTTTAAAAATAAATTAATTAAAAATGTGCTAAAGTATATTTAAGAAACAATATTTTGGCCGCATATACCAAAGCTTATCCATTAGTCTCGATTTTTGAAACAGACTGTCCCCACTCCATCCTTACCCCATTCGTGCCCATACTCATGAATCGTTACCATAATAGAATAAGTGTTATCCAATAATTTGTAATTAAAGTCTAAAACAAATCTATGATGATAAAGTTAAACTTCCCATTAATAATCCAACCTTCTTCATTCTCGTTACATGTTACAATCCCTCAAGTAATCTAGTGTTCCAAAAGTAATAAACTACTAATAAAATTAATGAGTGTATTGAAAAGATTGTATTAGAGCCATTGTGTCAGCATTTTCCAACTAATAAAACTATTTATTTCTCTTCCTATTTGTTCCTCTACTATTCATCAAGGCTCAAGCTACTTATTTTTCTTTTGAGTTGGAATTCAGTTTCACCAATAAGAATCATGAGACACGGACACGAAATTGAAGGTGAAGACCACCAATCGAGGGTTTTATACGAGCTTTGTTCCGTCATCATTCACACTCTCAAGTTCCCTCCATTACCCTTTCCTTTTCCCACTTCGTATCCATATTCTTCTACTGCCACTGCATCATCATCATCTTCTTTGCCACACCCTAAGAGACAACCTTGGTGGACAACGTTGGAGTCCTCGCATGATTCAACTGCTGCATTTGCGTCTTTGTTTCTGGGTATATCTCTGGCCTTGATGCTTTTTGGGTCGGTCACATTCCTCGGTGGGTTGCTGTTGTTGCCTTGGGTTACTCTTTTGGTGCTTGTGTTCTATGTCGCTTTCACTTGTCTCTAACTTAACCGAATTGGGCCGTTTCATTATTGGCTCTATCACGTTGCACAAGGATCTTCCACGTGAGCCTCTCTCTTCTTCTTGCTTCCTACGCTTTGTCTCTGTTTCTCAATTTAAACAATTTTATCTTTTGACATAAAAAAAAAGAGAATTTTATCTTCACTTTGGTTTATTATTATTATTAAATTTTATACATCAATTCATTTTCCTTTAGTTCATGTTGAATTTTAGACTCTTCAAATTTTTGAGAAAGTTGAATCCTTTAATTATTTTAACTATTAGAATTCAAATTTTCAATTATTGTTTTACAACGAAGTTTAAATTTTTATTTAAAATTTAGGTTAATACCAAATAATTTAAATTTTTCTCACATTCTACAAAACAATTCAATTTATCAAAATTTTATTAATTACTTTTAAAATTTTAAACTTATTTCATATTAGAAAGCTGTCAGACATCTTTCACTATTTGATTGGAAAATAAGATTTTAAAGTTTACAAGCGGAAGAAAATTGATTACAGAAACAAATATATTTAAATATTAAAACTTGACTTATTCTGAAAATATAAAATGTTAAAATTGTACATAATTTAAATTAGAAGGATAGAAAGTACAATTACATCTTATTATCATCACTTACTTTTGTTGCTTGTGATTTATCGTCAATCAGATGAAGCCAATAATATTCTGCTGAGGCTCTAAGAGGAAAAAGAATTGTCCGAGACATTAAGGTTAGGCCGCAGATCACGCGTCATAATATGTGAATCTTGTTGGTTTCTGAGATTTTGAGGACTTCATTTGCATAAAATAGAACGAGCTATACCAACTGTTGTTCGATTCAATTTTAATTTTCTATCTCTGTTTTATTGGTGTATATGGGGTTAATTGAAGTTTCGTTCGCAGTGTCCCTCTGTGATGTCCTTCAACAATAACCCCACAACCTCCTTCTTCAACGCTTCAAATGTAATTGGTAATCAGGTTCAAAACTAAGTTATTGGAGAAGAATAATGTTTCTTTGTCTTGACAATTTTATGCTGATCTTGAACATATCGGCATATATAAAAAAATAAAATAAAGTTATCAAGATATTTACAAAGCCTTGGAATATTCGAAAAATTATCTATTATACGTGGTACTGTTTTTGGTTTTGGACCAAGTTCAATGAAGTGTGATAATCTTATTTAATGGGATAAAATTATTATTGTTGTCGCTTTGTTTGTCTGCTGTGTTAGTACTTACTGGCTTACCGCTTGTGTTGTGTGCGGAGGGAATAGGGCATTCTGTATTTAGAGACATTATTTTACAATATTAATACTTGCTCTCTTACATCAAAGTTTCAAAATAAAATGAAATTATATATTTCATTTTAGTTGTGTATGTTGATTTATATTAACATATCAATTTAAATATTTAAGTTGTATAAAAGCACCGGCTCAAGTATCTATGTTGGTCAAATTGTTTGCATCAAATATGTATTCAAAAAAATATTAATATTGGAAACGTGTTTGATAACACTTTAAACAAAACAAGAGATGCGTCTGAGATTTATAACTTCATAATGAAAATGAGTTATGCTTTTCTCTCGAAATTAACCCTCAGGAATTAGGAATCAATAATTTGAACTTTTGTAATTGAAGCAAGAGAAATTTAAACTAACCAAATTTGTTCTAGGGAAAGAAAATTCAAGAAGGATAATTTTATTTTTATCAAACAAGGTTACCTCTCCCATCTATAACTTTTACAGGTTTTGTTAATACTAATTGAATGAATATCGTACTTTCTCGAGTATACGAAATTCTACATCATTAAGCAATGGAAGAGCCAAAACATCTAAAGAAAGATCAAAGAGACGACAAACTCGCCAAGAAAAAATTCTAGCGCTCCACTTTAAAATTATTACGGATACACTGGTTGCACTACTGAGAAGGACATAGCAACCTAAATTTAAACGCATATATACACCAAGATTTGATGCTTAATTGATGGGTGCATGACAAATGAATATGACATGATAAAGTGAAAGTATAACTTAAGGCTATGTTTATGTACCTAACGATGACAAGTAAATTGAAATAAAATAAAGTGACCTAAAAATACTACTTCATTGTTTAGATAATTTTATCATACAACGGGAAAAAGCCAATGTTCCATTCTGTATCCTTAAATTTGAAGGTGGATGAAAAAAAAAAAGTTGATGGAATAAAATGAAAAAAGCATTCCACTATATTTGATTTTCATTAATCCAAACATAATCCAAAGTACCAAAGACAAGTGGAGCACTATGTAGTGGATGACTTTATCCACTACCAATGTGAACATTAATGGCAATGAGGAAGATAGCCATAAAGCCATAGAATAGAAGGGAATGAACAAAGATGGCGATGCCACTTGTTTGGAAATTGCAAAAAACCACTGGTCTGCCTTTGCCTGGTAGCTGGAACAGTAATCCAGGTGAAAACACCACAAATAGCACCAAGCCTATGACCACACCTGCCCAATCTCCCATTTACAGAGCCAAGTTTTCTTTGCTACTAATAGATCCAAATGCTAAAGGAAAACTTATAAACACGTTTGGAGGAGATGTAGAAGAATTTATATAAATGCTTGAAAGGCTTCTTTCTTGAGATGTGGGTGTGATATAAGACAACATAAAATTCAAGGAAGGGAAGGGAGAGACATTCAAATTGAAAGATGGGACAAATAGATTGCCTTCGCTTGCTTAAAAATCGGCCAAGGCATTGAATGCAACGATTCCTTGAAAGTTACATTCTCACACGGTCGCATGCCTCTCTTGGGATCTCTTTTATCTTCGGACGGCTACCAATTAAATTCTGAAAATATGTTTCTTTCACTTTTTCTTTTTCAACTCTATAAAATGTGGCATCATTGATGAAAGGGAAGGAAAATAAAAAATAAGAGATGCTGTTTTATAGTGAGATATAAGGTAAGCGTCAACATAAATCACAGTTTATTTTGTTTTACTTTTGTTTTGTTAACCTTTACACTTACACGCTTTATTATTAAAGAAATGTTGTATGGAGTAGCATAATAAAATAATTTAGAAATAATATTTCTTTTTCCTTTTCATTTAAATGATTAAAAAGTAGTGTGCAGCTAATATTATAAATAAGAGTGTGAAATATCATTGTCAAAGATTTTTTTGTTCGACTATGTTAGAAATAAGATTGATATAGCTTTAAAAAAGTTAGCTGAGTTTTCATCATCTGTATATATAGATAAGATATTTTAACATATCAAATTTTGTTACATGTGGCTATTTACCTCTTTATATAACTTAGCCCCTTTCTCTTTGTAATCTGATTTATATTCAATAATATCTCTAAAAAGTTTCCTTTCTCTTCCTCTCATATTCTCTCCAAAGGAGAACTAATTCCTTACATGGTATCAGTCACGCTACAATCCAGGAATTTTTCAATGGCTTATGCAGAAATACCATTCCATCCTCATACCTACTCAAATGTGATTTCATCCAAATTAATGGATGATAATTTCCTCACCTGGATGCAACATGCAGAAGTGACAATCAAGGAATTTTGTTTGCAAAAACACATTGACAAAGCGAAATCGATTCTTGAAAAATTCTTGACACCAGATGATAAATTGAAGGGTTTGGTGGTTGTTCGAAAATTATGAGCAATAAGACAATCTATTGAATCTTGGTTGCTTGAATCTATGGATGCACAGTTTAAGATCCATATGGTTGGATGCGTTTGGTCGCATCAAATCTGGCATGTTTTGAAGGTGTAGTTTGCATCTCAGACAAAAACACATGTTAAGCAATTGAAAATTCAACTTTGCAGCACCAAGAAAAGTGGATCGATCGTCGAGTATCTTGTACAGGTGAAACAGATTGTCAAGACTCTTGCTGCAATTGGATCGCTGTTGTCGGTTAAAGATCACATTGACACAATCTTTGATGGTCTTGGCGAAGATTATGATGGATTCATTACTTTGTGTATCACAAATTGAAGCATACATTGTTGTTGAGATTGAAGCACTATTGATTCATCAAGAGAAACGTCTTGAGCGGTATAAGCAACGTGAGTTGTCCACTCTTCAAGTAAATGTTGCTTAAAATCACAAAAGAAAGACAATCTTGTGACCAATTGCAGACGTGGATGTGGTCAGAACCGTGGAAAAGGAAGTGATGAACGAAAGATTTGTCGTTGATCCTCATCAAAATATAAACAGAAATTAATGTAATACTAGGGTGCTAACTTAGGTTGTCTCCGATGACTTTTGTTGAGAATATACATCAAATATGTTACAAATATTCACTGTGAAAACAGTTAAATGGGGGGTTTTGTGTGATTCTAAATTCAGTATAAAGAGCAAGAAATAGAATTATAAAGTTCAATCAATGAGATACAATAATCCCTAGTTCATTCACGTGATTCTATCCCTATTCCTCTTAAGATTAATACATTTCCTTCTCCTAGAATTAGGTTAATTTAACAAGCAAAAATTAACTTTATACTTCCATACAAATTAAGCGATTCAGTGGATTCCAATCTCTTCTGCCAAGATTATGCAACCTTAGAAATTATCCCAGAATTAAGCAATTCAAGTTTAGAATCTCCTTAAAAATGAATTAGAGTTAATTAAGCAATATCCCCCTCATTCAACCATTAATTCAATTCAAGATATTAGGAAGAAGAAATTCACAGAAGAAAAAGAATTATATTAACATTCAAAACCCAGGAATTCAAGAATCTAAATGAACTCACTAGGGATTACAAAAGGTTTGGTCCTCCATGAGGATGGGTCTCACAAATACAAGATGAAAGTAAAGGGAATTCGATGACATGAATGTAAAAATCAAAGGAAAATAAAGAGAAAATAGAAATCAAACTCTAGGTTGGATCCTTGGTTGCACCCAAGGTTGACCTAAGCTCTGCAAGTGTTCCCAAAATGACAAAAATCTAAAAGTGTATAAAGCTCTCTAACCCTAATTTTCAAAAATCTATTTATAATCAAGTGAGCATCATCTGTAGTGGCTACTATCATAAGTGATAGTAGCTACGCACAGCCTCCCAGTCATGTTATTCTTCTCTGAAGTTGTCACTATGGTAGGTGATAGTGGCTATGCGCAGCGTGGTAGCTACTATGGTAAATGAAAGTGGCTACGCGCAACTCTGTGTTACTTTGACTTTTGTTGTAGTTGTCACTTCGCTTCTGATAGTGGCTATGTGCAACTCTATTGCAATCTGGGCTCTCTAAAGTGTCCACTATCATCTCTAAAAGTGATTACTTTAGTCTGCTATCTGGATCTAGCTTGCTGTAGTGTCTACTATCACTTCTAAAAGTGGTCACTTTCATCTCACATTTTTTCAAAGGCTAAAAATCCATGGAATAAGTTTAGAAATTCCTGTACAATTATTCAAATGATCAAAATTACAAATTATATTTATATAAATCAATGTAAATTAATCAAAAATTAAGAAAGCTATGATATTTGACCTAAATGGAATTTTCATCTTATTTACACTTTCTAAGCCTACTTTTTCTATTAAAAAACACTAAAAAGGCAAGTAAAAATTTAATAAAATATGGATTCATCACAATCCCAAACTTAAACTTTTACTTGTCATCAAACAAATCAAAAATCAAGAGAATTGAATGTAAAGGGTTGGATTTATCCAAAAAAAAAATTCAAAATTTTCATTCCAATCTTAGACTCTAATTGACACTTACATTATTTCCAAAGTCATGGATTCATTCAGCAGAAAAATCATACTCATATCAAATATTTCATGTAAAGTCTCACTAAATTAAAACAAAAATTTGACAAGATTTCATGCAATCTACATAATGCAAAGAAATTATCTAGCTCATAGGGTAGTATTTCACTCTTCACTCATCAATGTTTCAGGCTAAGTATTTTTCTTCAATTTATACATTTTGTCTTACCCTACCATATGCTTGCCCATATTCTCAATCTCCTTGAATCACATATCATAAGGGCTTTGTTAGTCACAAATGGAATTAGGATAGGTTCACTTTTATCAATGAAGGTCACAAGCTCAAGTAAGTTTTTAAGAGAAGAAATTTTTTTGAGTGAATGAGTACAATAACTAGAATGGAATGTATTAAATGATGTAGTAAATAAGATTCAAGCATTCTTTCACCATTTTTATTTTCATTATTCTGCCTTATGTGAGAATTTTTTTTCTATCAAAATGACTTGTTACGTTTTTCTTTTTCTTTTTCTTTCACTTCCATTCATTCTTTTTTGTGATTTATTGGACTTTGGCAATCATTTTTCTTCTTCAAATTTAAGCATTTTTTTCATGTAATATTAACATGTATAATGCTCACCACCTCAAACTTAAGATCTTACTTGTCCTCAAGCAACTACAGTCACAATGAGCACCCCAAACTTAATTTCATGTAATATTAACAAAAGAAATACCTCTCTTAAGGTAAGGAAATTATTTTTGCAGACTAAGTTTGGCAAAAGAATGAAATATGGAATATCCTAGAAATCCCTCTGGATACATTATATGTTCCTGGAGATCAAGTCAAGAAAATAATTCTAATTACATTATCAAAATTGTTGAAAACAATATTCCTCTAGGTCAAGACACAGGAGAAGAATTTCATCTCTTATCGAGACAATCAATTAATGAACATATGAGAAGATACAAATACCTCCACATAGGATGTGTCTAAGTTGCTGTCAAACCTTTAATAGAAGTACAATAGGTTTAAAGATTCTCTAATAGGTACAGTAGAAACCAGTCTTGGACAAGGACCAGTTTATTTTAACTATTACCCAAACAAAATTGTGAGTCTTATTGATAGAAATATCTTATACTCTATTCCTAAATATTCATTTTCATGGTTTAGACTTGAAATAGGGGTCAATTCCTACAGCCTTAATTTCCAAGATTCAGTATAAAGTCCAACTCTTGTGCATCCAAAATTCTTCTTAAACCTCAGAAAGGGGAAACAATTGTGTTTATCACTGATATGATAATGGCTACTGTTTCTCTTTCTAGAACTATTAAATGAGATGAAGTTACTCTCCTAGAAAAGTGGGTTATGGACAAGGCTACGCCTTCTATTCCTTGACCTGCTCTTCAAATTCAAGACATTACTCAAGATAATTTTGGGAAAGTTGAAATAACTTTTAATAAGAGAAATTCTTTCTCTTTCAGAATTGAAACATTTAGACAATCTAAGTATGCTTCTATGAGATGATCTTTCTCTATCAGATCCCAAGCCATTCTATCTGAGATACCAAGATTTGTATCTCATATCCCTTCCTACATAAACTTACAGGATTTAGATACCTATTCTATCATTCCTAGAACAACTTATTAAAATGATAAAGAAGAAGAAAATCAGAGTATTTAATCTCTAACATATTCCTCCTTGAATGAGTTTTATACATAAATAAGGAAATCCTTAGGAAAGATTTCTATTTTGAAGATTGGAAACCTCAGAGAAAATGATTTTTTTAGAATTACAAGGGTAGCAATA